GGGGAGGCCACCTCACAGTTTCAGGTAGGACTTGAAGGTTGCTACCGGCGTCCGTTGTTTCAGGGATTTTCAAGGGAGAAGACGTGGTTCGTGCTTCTTCTGTTTCCTGTTTTCAAAACAATTATAACAATGCTCATGGATATTATTTTTGAATAACTATTTGGGGGCTTGTATGCCCATGTTTGCCAGAGTGTGGCTAAGACATCTTTATTAAATGCTTCCGCTGTTTTAAATGAATGATTTACATTATGCTTGTTTATGGATGTACTATGTGTGAATGGTATTCATGACGCCTTGTATAGTATGGATGAGTTGGACTGCGGTTGACTATTCGTACTGTACGGCGGGTTGTTGACGTGTCCGGCTAGGTCCGGGGCGTGACAATTTAATTGGTATCAGAGCCTTAGTCCGTAAACATCATAATGAAGCTTCAAAATTTCTTTTTGAAAATGAATTTGAAAACCATGAGCATAATGTTTTGTACTTATAGAACTTTTGGTACTTGAGTTGCAATGTCTCTAATTGTTAAGATGGTACCCTTAACAATTGGTATGGCGGTGATTTGAGCCAAGGGATGTCTTTAAGTACCTATCTGTCGATTGGTATGGCGGGGAAACTCCTCATTTTGGTATGTAAATTTCCTAAATCTACCTTGTACTAAGCATTATTTTCTTTATTCTTTGTAAACAAAAAAAAACAAAAAAAGAATGATAATAAAAGAAAAGAAATGCTAGTTAGGTTGAAAACCCAAAAAGGGCCAATCTAAGCAAAATGGGCTTATAAAAAATGAGTGAGTTGGAAAGGATAAAAAATAGATGCTAGGATGAAAACCTGAAGAGACTCCTAGGCAAAATGAGATATATGAGAGATTTGTTTTTGTAGGGCATTGATGGTCTCGAGAAGAAGAAGAAGAAGAAAAGAATTGAAGACAAAAGATGAGCATGGAAGACCCTAACCCCCAAGAAGATGATTGTTATGTTTGAGCAAAAAAAAGCTCAATATAAACTTATTTGTTATTCTTGGTGGTCTTTTGCTTTTTCTTGTTGATCTTTGAACTATTGAAGACTTTGAACTTGCTGAACATTTGACTTTACTCGAGGACGAGTAAAGAATCTAAGTCCGGGGGAGTTGATATTCTTGTAATTTCCAATTGTATTTTTGCAGTTTTAATTATTTTGTTGTTCGTTAGTTTGGAAATTACACACTTTTGTTAAAATATTTGTAATTTGTTTAGATTACGACTATTTTAAGCTTAGGACATGTCAAAATCATTCAAAGGATCGAGGAATGGATCCCAAAGACCAAAGGATGTGAAAAGGAACAAGATCAAACAAGGATTTGGAAAAATGTTCATATACCCGGTCGGGTATATGCAATACGCGGTCGGGTAAATGCAATAATCGATCGGGTATTGACCGGGTTTGTATGTCAAAATCAAATCCGGAGAACAAATGATCGTGGCTGCAAAATATTCGAAGATTTCGTCTCATACCTGATCGGGTAGACCAACATACCCGATGGAGTATAAGTGGTTTTTACAGCTTCCGGGAAACTGCTAGGTACCCGACCGGGTACCCTAAATACTTGATCGGGTACACAACCCTGCTACCTCCAAACACCTATAAATACACCCCTTTTCCTTCACATTCAATTCACCAATTCACATATACTATTAAGCTCAGTTTAGAATAGCTATTTCTTTATATTTTCTAGCATGTTTAGTCTCCAAATGAGGAGCTAAACTTCCATTTCTTGATTTTGCTCTTGAATCTTGTTGAATGTTAAAGTTGTGAGTTATTTTCTTAACTTTTTCTCTTTAATATTAATTCTTCTCTTAATCTTATTTCTATATTAGTGTTGGGGTGTTTCTAAGTGATGATTAGTTAACGCTTCGACATTAATTATTACTGGAAACGATCAATGAACCGATGGTTAATCATTGATGGTTTCACAAGTAAGTAACTTCGGCTTATTAATGCACGGTCGTGGTTAATAAACTTAAGAGGGATTAATTATGTTGGTTAAACCGAAACCGTTGTGTTGAGGTTATCAATCTCAAATGATTTCATCAAGGAGTTAAGAAGATTACATGCTACTATTAAGTCGGAATACGAAGTTGTTCTATATTTGGCTAAAGGGTTGTTAATGAATGGTCGTTATTAATAACTACCCGGGGTGAATTGGAGATACTCCTCGATTGAGTATTCGAGATCAGAGGATAAGTTAAAGATATAATTGGGATCAACTAACATCTCAACAAGTGGAAAGTAGCAAAGTCAAGTTCTTTATCTCTTAAATTAAAACACATATAAGTCGTTCATCTTAGTGTTTAATTAAAGTAAATCACACAATCCCAAAAAATCCTTTTTATTAATAGTTTCATAAAAGAAAAGTATTCTTTTACCTGTGGATACGAACCCCACTTCTGCATACTACGTATAAGTGTTAAGTATTGAATTTATTTTGAGTCACATACGACTTTAGTGCCGTCACTCGCCTTAGCGGGATAACAGTCAAGGTAGAGAAAACGAAAAAGGTGTACAGATGGGGACAAGAAGACAGAACTGGATACTCACTGTGACAGACTCTAACAAGACTAGATCTAAGGAAGTAGAGGCAGCAGCTATGGAAGAGCTTCCAAGTGAATAAAAATGTAGGATGGTGTGGGAGGAGAAAGGGATTGAGGAGCTTGGTGGGGACAACATGGCCCTGGATGATCCAAAAAACGGAGAAGGGGCGAGTGATGGTTAGCGGACCCGACCCGTCGAGTGCTTTGAAGACTTTCCATGACAAAGAAAGGCAAAGAGAGGTCCTCTGATGTTGAGGATGCAGCCGAAGTCCTTTTATTTTGCTTTCATTTTTATTATTTACTTTGATCAGATTGCTCTTGTTGTTGTCTTTTATTATTATTATTTCTGACTGACTTTTGCATTGAGATTGGGTGATGAGGGGTCTATTTTAACTGCGTTATGCTCGTTTAGATCGATTACAAGATCGGCCAGTCATATTTCTTTTTGCAAGGTGATTGACCAGGGCCAGTCATGGGGGAGGTAGCCTAGACATTTGTCTAGGGCCTCCAAATTTTGTAGGGCCTCCATTTAAAAATAATAATAATAATAATATATACTTAAATCCTTAATTAAATTAGTTGAAATACTTAAAATTAGTTTAGAACTAAAGCTATGTTGATGCAAAATATTAAAAAAAAACAAAATTAAGCATGTTCGGTGATATATTTGAAAATAAGGACAAATATATGATCTAAATAAGAGTGAACAAAATATGTCTTTTTATACTTCAGCGACTATAACTTTAGTGATTATGATTGTGTCAACTATAATGCATATGCATAGGTAATAATTCAATATCCTAATTCGAGTATATATTTTGAGAAATAGTTTTGATGTCTACGTATATAATATAATGAGTTATTGATGACAAATGTGACGTTATAAATGTATTATTTTTAAAATTTATTATTAAGTTGTCATTTTTAATTGTTTTCTAAAATAGAAAATGAAAACATTTAGTTGAGATGTCTAAAAAGGGAAAGTGACAAGTTTTGAATGGAATGAAGGGTAATACTTTTCATTAAGTTAGATTTCAGAAATATTTAAGGAAAACATTTAGTTGAGATGTCTAAAAAGGGAAAGTGACAAGCTTTGAATGGAATGAAGGGTAATATTTTTCATTAAGTTAGATTTCATTAGTCTTAGTGAGTCTTGATTGTTATAGTTTTCTTACCAAATTTGCTATTAGAATCTCCATGTGTTTTTCACTCTTTTATTGCTTACATTCAAAGAAGGATATTCTTTGCATTAGTAACATATGGTATATTTTGGACTGTACTTTACTTCTATTCGCGGTGTAATTAAAATGTCCTTTTTAATTTTTAGGCTCCGATCCTCTCTAAATTTGTAAAATAATTATATATATTTATATGTTAAAAGATTGTGTAAAAGATCATCCTGAAAAAACTTACCAATTCAAGTCACGTTAATATTTCTTTTTGGCTATGCCATTCATGTTTATTTCATATTATAGTTTTTGTATTCTTTTTACTAAAAAATATATTGAAGTTATACTCTCTCTACTCCGCTAAAATTGTTTCATCTTTAATTTTTGAACCTATGCATTAAGAATGTCACATATCAAATTTGACAAAATTTGTGTGGTTCTAAATCATGCTTATTTTATCACTTCAATATATCAATCACATAAACTATTTTTTTTTAATAATTGTACAACTTTATCATAACATAGCGTTAGTGAGACTTGAGTACGTTGTATCTCATAAGTAAATACGAAGTATTATTCAGTTGTCTAGGGGCTCAAAATTGCTCTAGACGACCCTGTGATTGACTCTAAGTCCGGTTCGAGGATCGGCAGTTGGAAGGGGTCCTTTTATCTTATTGTTCCCTGTCTGAATGTTGTGATATCGATTTAAGTGAAAATAGCGTCCTCGAATGCAAGATGTTGATGATCTATTTATAGGCGTTTACAAGAGGCTCACTAATTAAATGTTATTTGGGCTTAACCCAATTTAAGAACTAATAGAGACACCGATGGATCACTCAACCCCGAAAAAGTAATTAAATAATCGCTCATATTCTCAACTTTTCATATACTTTATAATTTTTGCGTGGGTTTTATATTGGGTCACCCCTAAAATCGACACTCACAAGTCACAACTGTAAAACAAATGAAGTGAGGTTCCGGCAGCCAGTGATCGGCGGTGGCGGTCCGGTGGCAAAACCCCAACACCTTTGGCTTTGTATGTGATACAAAAATTATTTAAAGATCGTGAAGTGCCCAAATTTAAACTTTGTCCAATCTGAACCAATAAAGACTTTGGTAGGCCCAAAAATATGCACATATTCGCCTAAAAGATTAGTTGAACAGTTGTATTCAGAAAAGTGGGGATGGTGTGTCTGAAAATAATTGGATGAGTCACAAAAAAGAGGTGATTGGCTTACTACAACTTCACCATATATAATGTGCGTTAGTTTATGAGCTTGAGACAGGACCAATTGGTTGTTGGAAGTGAGTGATGATGGAAGGAAAGGATTATAATAACAATTTCAAAACTAAAGGCAAAGGCAAAAGTGTATGTGTTACGGGAGCTGCTGGTTATCTGGCTTCTTGGCTTGTAAACAGACTTCTCCTGTCTGGCTATCGTGTAATTGGGACTGTCAGAGACCCTGGTAGGTGTTCCTTTTCCACCTTTATCTTTATTGCCTTCTTCTTCTATTTTTAGCTTCATAAATACTATTGCTTCAAAACTACTCCCTATTCAACCTCTCGGTTTAAGTTTCTCACTTGAGCAATACTTGGTGAATACACATGGAACGAATATATATCGTGTAATTGTCCGTCTTACTAGAGAGCTTAAACCTTTGGAACGAATTGTCATTTTAACTAGAGAGCTTAATACTTGGTGAATAACTAAAACTTGTCATTTTACTTTAGGAAATTAATCATTAAATATTCAAAATAATATATATATATATAACATGAGTGTTATCATCAACATCAATGACCTCATTATATTACATACCCATGAAAATTATATTTCAAAATTTACTTGAGTTACCTTATTTAATTATTGTCTAAGGATGTTACAATTAGACTGAAATCTTCTAATTTGGTTTGATCTGATCTGATTCGATCTGATCTGTTTACGTCTGGTTTGGTCTCATCTAGTATGAACTTATCGGGTCTGGTCAGGTAGATGTCTGATTTATGAATATTTTACCATTGTCAAAATCTAATCTGATTTGATCTAGTCTATTTAATTCTGGTATGATCAGCGATAGAAAGTCTAAAACCAATTCAAATAAAAGCATCTTAAATAACCGTGACATGACATGATGGATTATGTGATGTGCATATGTACATGTATGAAACAACGAACGTACTATGTTGTTATGACTTATACTAGAATTTTATTCCTTGTGAGATTCTGAGCCCGTCTGGCAGCACGAAAATCGGTTGTTCTTGTTGATTCTGCTGAAATTTATGAAGTTATGGCTGAAGTGACTGCATTGGGTGATTCTGCTGATACAAGAAAAAAATATTTTTAAAATATATTTTATTAATAAAATAAAGAAAAAATTATATGTAAAAATAGCTAAAATGGTCATCTACAGTAACTTCACCCAATACAGCCAGAAAAGTAACTCCAACCTTACTTTTTCGACTTATTACACAATTCAGCGCGTGAAAGCAAAAATTACGTGTTTGGTAAAAAAGTTGGCTGGTAAGCCTGATAAGCCGAAAATGAGAATTGCCAAACGGCCTCTATAACAAGTAAATGTCCATAGTAAATGTTGTACATATATTTTACGTAGTAATATAAATCCTACATAAATTCTTTTCTGTATGAATATGTAAAATATAAATAATGATGTTGCATATATAAACGTAGTATACCATATATAAATTTAATGGACTTTCTAAGCTTTGACGCTCCTAATATTAATATTATGGTTCCCTCAATGCGGTGGGTAACCTTTGAGACACATTTTTCGTCATATGTTTTGGGGGCAATTAATTATTGGCAGGAGAGGAGAAGAAAGTAGGACACCTATGGAAACTTGAAGGAGCAAAAGAAAGGCTTAAACTGGTGAAGGCTGATCTGAGTGAAGAAGGTAGCTTCGATGATGCTATCAATGGATGTGAGGGTGTCTTTCACACTGCTTCGCCCGTTCTTGCAACACCCAATGTACGTACATGCATCGTAGAAAATGGTCAAATAAAGTCTTTTACTATTACAAAATCATCACATAAGGTCATTTACTGTGTCATATAAATACATTTACTTATAAAAAACAATCAAATGAGTCCTAATGACCCGTTTGCAGCCTTCTAATCCTGATTTTAGCTCATGTGTCGTTATTAATTCCCTTTATTTAAGCCAATTTTGAAAGGATAGGCAAACATATGCTAAAATCGGGAATATGAGGTTGTTAAAAGGTCATTAGGACTCATTTGATTGCTTTTTATATGTAGATGTATTTATATGACATTTTATTGAGTACATGGCCTTATGTGACCCTTTTCTCCTCTAAGATTGTTTTTACTTGAATTGTTATAAATTACACAGAGACCAGACTATGAATGAAATTATTGCTTGTTTAGAAAAGCACGTTTGTTATTCTTATAAAGATTATTATGGGATAAAAGAAAAAATAATTGCCACCTATTTCTCCCAAACATGAGTACTTTGTTTTTAACTAAATAGGACTAATTATTGCTAATATGAAACAATAATGCTACATCACATTGTGAGAGTTTAACAATAATAATTTCATACCTTGAAAAGTGAATTGTCTGTGCACAGAAAATTCCTTTATTGAAATGAAAATCAAGTGTGTGGATATGCCCTAGCTTCCAAGTACCGCCCCTTCTCGGCGCACCAACAAATGTGCTAGGCGCACCCACTTTTCTTAATGAATGGACGAATGTGTCTTATGAAGCACTCCGTATTTTACTACTCCTTACTAATGAGTTGCTCCAGAGTCCAGACTCAACGTGTTTTTAGTTTTTACTTAGTCATGCCGCAATATTCTTTTTTCCTTAATCATTTTTCTACTTTCTTTCTTTTATAATTATAAAAAGCGGCTTTTACATTTGGTTTTAATATAAAAGCCACTTTTATAATAATTATATTTTATAATTATAATACATTCAAGACAACTTTTGGATAAATTTTACAGATTCAATCGTGCTTCAGCACCATATTGATTGGGATGGCGAAAAATTGGCCAAATTACAAAATTGGTAAAAAACAAGAGGGTATCATCTCACAGATTGATAAAATAACCACTTGAGACATATTGTTAACAAAAGAAGCTCTAATGACAAATTGGTCAATTTTTTGTGAGTGACAAAACTTTCGATCCTCACCTTTGGAATTTCAGACATTTCATATTCTAAGCATCGTGAAATTGACATTTGCAGTTTTTTTACTTTGATTTTATCATCAAAGTGGAGGTCTAAAAATGTCAATGACCGTGTTTGATAATATTTGTTTTCTACTAACTCATAGCCGATTGAATCAATAAATTGATATTAGCGAATTGTTAGTTTTTTTAATTTAACTAACCGCTTTCATTAGCGGTTTGAAATAAAATGTTACGGAGTATTAACTTAAAATTTGCATTTAGATTTTCATGTATAAAAAATGAACATTAAAAAATAAATTTAAAAGTTAAAATTTTTAAATTAATTTTATTTCTTTTTATTTTTAATACGTTTTGGAAAGAAATTGATAATTATTTGGATTGAGAACCGTGAAAGATGGCAATTTTAATTATAGTCTATGGCTTAATGAAGGTTTGAACGGTGAAAGATGGCAATTTTAGTTAAGGAATACGGAGTATATGCAAGAGGACAAATTGGTCTGGTCAAGGTTAGATTAAGTAAAATTAGGGGTGCGCAAAGCAACGCCCTCCAAGTACCAATCACCTAATGCATCTCGAAGTGTTAGACAACATAGAAGCGTCGTCCGGCTGACGGCGTTTGGCCACCTTTCCGGTAGAATTTTTTGATCAAATTTTTATGGCGCATTCTTCATCAAGTCTTGTTTATCCACAAAAAAAATAAGCTAAAAAATCCATCCGGAAGGTCTTCAAATGATTTTTTGAAGTTAACTGTGCAAAATTACACACAAAAAACGCAGTCAACTTCAGAAAATCATTTGACGACCTTCCGGATTGAGCTTTTAGCTGAATTTTTGTGTGAATAAACTAGACTTGATGAAGAACATGCCATAAAAATTTAATCAAAATATTCCACCGGGAAGGCGGCCAAAAGCCGTCGGCCGGACGGCCCCTGTGGTGCGGCCGGACGCACATGAATACTCCTCTAGACAACATATACTTAATTACACATGTATGGCTAATGAATAAAAAGGAGAAATTAAATATAGATATTTCATATTTGTATTGAATTGTGCAGGAAGAAATGGTAAAAGCGGCGGTTGAGGGGACGTTGAATGTGCTGAGGTCGTGTAAGAAGAATGCATGGTTGAGGCGTGTGGTTGTGACCTCATCTTCTTCAGCAGTTAGGGTCAGAGATGATTTCGACCCTAAAGTGCCCTTGGACGAATCATCTTGGTCATCTCTCCACCTTTGCCGCACACTTCAGGTCTGACTTAATTAGCTTCCAACTAATGAGTAATTAACCACTTTTAATGAACATTTTGCTCACATTTAAGCCATACTATAACATCACTTTTCATCCTAAAATCTCGAATTAGTAGCAAGAGTGACTCAAGCTTTTATGTCATACGGAATAGTTTATTAGTGTGAGAAGTAGTTATCAGCAGTAGATACATTATTAGTAGCTGAAAGCCATGTAATTTCAAAATTAATGTTAACAACAAGTAGCTGAAAAGCTAGTCAAAGGATCCTAATAGTCACAAAAGAATACTCCCTCCGTTCCCAAAAATACTTCCCACTTTCCTTTTTGGGTTGTTCCCAAAAATACTTCCCACTTTCCCATTTTGGACAATTTGTGTGGCTCACATTCATTTTACTTTTTTCTTACACAACCACAACCATACATTTCCACTTTATTCCACTTTCTTAATAAGCGTGTCAAGTCAAACCGGGAAGAATTTTTAGGAACGGAGGGAGTATGCTAAAATAAAGCCTCATGTTACTAGTAATTGTGTTAAACTAATTTGATTTTATTCTCTCTTATGTGTTTTTGAACATATCCAAAAACAAAAAGCTTTGGTATCCTCTGTCTAAAACTATGGCGGAAAGAGCTGCATGGGAATTCTGCAAAGAAAACAATATCCATCTAGTGACTGTGTTGCCAACCTTCATCATTGGCCCAAGCCTGCCTCCTCAGTTATGCTCAACGGCAACAGATTTTCTTGGCTTGCTCAAGGGTAAGTTACCATCAATTATGTTCAACACATTTTCCCAATGGAGCCAAAGATTCATTATTTTTTGGCTTGAGATTATGATGGAATAAAGCAAAATGGCTCACTAAACTGTCTGCGCTTCTTTGTTATGGAGCAGCAGTCAGTCCATGCAATTTTGGACGCGATTTTCACTATGGGTCATCCGGAAACAGTCTCTTTGTACTTTAGTACAGGGGTAAGACTGTGTACATCCGACCCCTCTTACCCCACCGTAGTTGGGAGCCTTTGCGGCACCGGGGTAAATGAAAATGAAATGAAATGATCAGAGTTGTGACTGCATTCCAGTGTAGCAAACACCTATTCGATGATAAAAAGTTAATCAATTATTCATCATTCAGTACATACATGCAATACAAGATAACAAGAATGAGGCATTAAAGTAGTCTTTAATGCCAACAATCATAAGCAAGTACTCATTTTTAAGAATGTTGAGTTGAATGAAATAGGGGAGACTGAGAAGTTTCAACTGCATGGAAGGATGGGGTATGTGTACATAGACGATGTTGCTGCCTCTCACATTCTTGTTTATGAGCATGAGAGTGCTCAAGGGAGGTACCTCTGCAACTCTAATGTCATCGAACTCCCCGAGCTTGCTTCGATTCTATCAACGCTTTACCCGACTCTCCCCATTTCTAAGAGGTATGCATTTATCCGCAAAATACTCATTATGGAGCATGTTATCATATTCTTAATGGTAACCCCAAATCACAACTTCAATTGTCGATCTCAGGTTTGTGAAGCATAACGATAGGCCATACTATGAATTTGACACCTCAAAGTTGAAGAGTTTGGGGATGAAGTTCAAGTCAGTTGAGAAGATGTTTGATGAGACTGTCAAGTCCTTGATAGAGCAAGGCCATCTTTCAACATAGCAGCTCCCTAGCTATACATGAACCGTGATCATGCACTTCCATTTCATTCTTCTAATAATGGCAATTCAAGTTATACTACTTATAGAGAGAACACCATTCTATGACTTCTTTTGAGGTTGCAAATATTCTGTATTGAGCAATAAGTGTAGAAGCTCCTTTAATAGCTATGTTTACATAAAATTCTCAAAGGCTATTGTAATAGAATGACTTCGGGGAACTATTAATTTAAAAATAAATAAATCCATAATACAATGGGGTTTCAATGTTCACAATGAGCACAAGAGAAATGGTTATGAACACGCTTCATTTATAATAACAAAAGTATAATGGCAAAAATTGATATGATTGTTACTAACACTAATATATATATATATATATATATATATATATATATATATATATATATATATATATATATATATTGATGGATAGTCTACCCGGGGGTATATATCCGAAGGGTTACTACGGGGAATAACTTAGAGAGAAGTCAGAGCAAGTAAATATATATAGAGAGAGTGTATTATAAATGTGGAGCGTTTTCAGCGTGGTTACAAATGGGGAAATGGGGTGCTATTTATAGTAGCAATAAATGTCGGGCAGGGACACGTGTCAAGCGCTCATTGGCCGAGGGGTCACCTCAACTGGTTGGCGCTGGCAGCCGCATGTGGCCGCATTTAATGCGGCTGTTGGACGGGACGTCTGTGCGGGGTACGGTGATCTGTACGCATGTGAGGCAGATATCTTGTCGAGTGAGATGCCTTCGGCTATAGAGCAGTAACCGAGGGCTCTCCCTCCCGATGGCACCCTGGTGCCGAGGGCTGCTGTTTTCGCCGTTTTCTCCCAGTTTCCTAATTTGCTTGAGAAACCCGCTCTGTGACAATTTGGAGCCTTCGGCCAGGGGTCCGAAGGCACCCCTGTGCGTTGTGCGGACTGCTTGGTACTCTGGGCGCTGTGATTTGGTCCTGTTGGGCCTGTTGGGCCTTTGCTGGAGTAGTAGGAGTCTGTGGGCCGGGGGTTCCCGGGCCATATACTCCATCAGGAGTCCCTCACTCCTTTTGCCGAAAGGTACTTGAGGGAAAAGGAGTAATTTGTGCTTGCCCTTTGATGTTGTCCTGTCGTGATCTCTGAAGTTGGTGAGGAGTTGTTGCTTTTATGTCCCTGCCGAAGGCAATCCCTCAGTTACCCACATGTCGGGACTTGAGGGCTTGCTTTGTTGTAATTTAATGATTTTCCCGAAGGGGTCCTCCAGTCCCCCACTCCTTGAGGCACTTGTAAAGTGGTGAAAAGGAGTAACGCAGTTACGTTGCTGTTGTGGGCCGAAGGCTGACGCTTTTCGTTTCATTTTGGGGGGATGCCTCGTTAAAAACCTCATTAGGAAAAACCCTTTGGGAAAAAAAATCCTAATGAGGGAAAAAGAGTGCACCGAATTCCCCCAATGATGAATCGAAAATGTCAAACCTCGGTGAAAAATGGAGAATGACGGGAATGCCGAAGGCTCTCTCTTCTGAGGGCTCCTGTGTTGATTTGCCGAAGGCTTGCTGTTGATGTCCTGGTGGTGCCGAAGGGGAGCCCCTCAATCCAGGGATCGAGGGCCTGCCAGATGAGGGCAGCAGTGAAGTTGTTACCGGGGGGTCCACTGTTTGTTGATGAGTTGGTGATGAAGATACCCGAGGGCTCCCATTACCTGTGTGCCATGGGACCTCCGTTAATGAGGCACTCCCCGGGGGCTGCCCGGTTTTGCAGTGCTGAGGGGGAAACCCCGAGGGGTGCCCCTGATATGCAGCCCTGGGGATCTGAAGGAGTGATCCCGAAGGCGTGTGTAATGTGCTGTGTGGGGCACAACCCGGGGGCACTTCTGGGTGAGTGCAACCGGAGGCAATCCTTGATGAAGTGGAGTGAAGTAGAAAACCCGGGGGCTTCCAGAATATAGCCGTTGAAAATATAGTCGTTGGAATATGTAACGACAGGATATAGCCGTTGGGGGGGTGGCACACGTGGCGTGTGATGGCTGGTCGTCCGTGGGCGGCGTCACCGGTTGGGTGAAACGGCGGTGTGTAATGATGGCGTCCATCCGGAGGCCCGGAATCCAGGCCCAAGCCCGGATTCATCGCCTATAAATACCCCAAGGCCAGGCATTCCTCCGTGTGCGATAAACTTGTTAGCGAAGCTCTGTCAATTTTTCTAGAGAGAGAAAGTTCAGCCTTCGGTCCAAAATTCAGCTTTCGAGGTCAGTGCTCCCTGCCTTTCTCCTTCTAGCATAGCTGTACTGTGCCCTTAGTGTAGGAGATAGAAAAGTTAGGAAACACTACCGTCTACGAGCCCTCGAACAAGGGTGCGAATGTCGTCCCAGAGTGACTCTCAGGACATCTCGAGGACGCCCTCGATGGAGGACGAAGGCATCTCCGACGTGGAGTCAAGCAGTGGTCAGCCCTCGGATTGTGGTGATGCAGCCCTCGCCACTGAGGTGCAGAAAGATCTGACGGCTGAGGCCGAGGCGGAGGAATTCGAGCGAACTGCCGAGGATGAAGAGTTGGCCCTCGCCGTCCAAGTTGCTGAAGAGGAGGAGGAGAAGGAGAGGGCGAAGGTCACTGTGGCCGTCCTTCCCCCTCGTTGATTCTAGTAATATTTTCTTTACTTGCAAATCATATAGTTTGTTGGTGTTTGATGTGTGTGTGTGTTTTATATTTTGATTTGTGTTGTTGTGGATTTGTGATTTTTTTGCATGGATTCATATTACTTTGATTCTGGTGTTAACTAAAGTGAAGATGTTCTTTGTACAAGAGAACCTCTTGCTATCAGGCCGAGTATTGTTTACATTGTCTCACATGTTTGTGTTTTTATTGAAATTTTAGATATTTAGTTGTTTTCTTCTTCTTTGTTTTTGTTCATTTGAACATTCTTCTACTTTGGAGCACATAGAACAATCTCATGAGATTGTTTGTGTTGAAACTATATTAGTTAAGAAAACTGAATTTTCTAAGCTGACGGGTAAAGAAGTATCTTCGGAGAAAGAGACATTTGAGTTGTATCATGAATACATTTATATTTTATAGGTTTGGTTTTGGAGTTCAGTATTTTACTTTGAGAAAGAGAGGTAGTGGTTATGATTTTAGACAAAGGGACTTTTTGTTTTAGTATGCAAAAGAATACTCCCTCCGTTCCCAAAAATACTTCCCACTTTCCTTTTTGGGTTGTTCCCAAAAATACTTCCCACTTTCCCATTTTGGACAATTTGTGTGGCTCACATTCATTTTACTTTTTTCTTACACAACCACAACCATACATTTCCACTTTATTCCACTTTCTTAATAAGCGTGTCAAGTCAAACCGGGAAGAATTTTTAGGAACGGAGGGAGTATGTTAAAATAAAGCCTCGTGTTACTAGTAATTGTGTTAAACTAATTTGATTTTATTCTCTCTTATGTGTTTTTGAACATATCCAAAAACAAAAAGCTTTGGTATCCTCTGTCTAAAACTATGGCGGAAAGAGCTGCATGGGAATTCTGCAAAGAAAACAATATCCATCTAGTGACTGTGTTGCCAACCTTCATCATTGGCCCAAGCCTGCCTCCTCAGTTATGCTCAACGGCAACAGATTTTCTTGGCTTGCTCAAGGGTAAGTTACCATCAATTATGTTCAACACATTTTCCCAATGGAGCCAAAGATTCATTATTTTTTGGCTTGAGATTATGATGGAATAAAGCAAAATGGCTCACTAAACTGTCTGCGCTTCTTTGTTATGGAGCAGCAGTCAGTCCATGCAATTTTGGACGCGATTTTCACTATGGGTCATCCGGAAACAGTCTCTTTGTACTTTAGTACAGGGGTAAGACTGTGTACATCCGACCCCTCTTACCCCACCGTAGTTGGGAGCCTTTGCGACACCGGGGTAAATGAAAATGAAATGAAATGATCAGAGTTGTGACTGCATTCCAGTGTAGCAAACACCTATTCGATGATAAAAAGTTAATCAATTATTCATCATTCAGTACATACATGCAATACAAGATAACAAGAATGAGGCATTAAAGTAGTCTTTAATGCCAACAATCATAAGCAAGTACTCATTTTTAAGAATGTTGAGTTGAATGAAATAGGGGAGACTGAGAAGTTTCAACTGCATGGAAGGATGGGGTATGTGTACATAGACGATGTTGCTGCCTCTCACATTCTTGTTTATGAGCATGAGAGTGCTCAAGGGAGGTACCTCTGCAACTCTAATGTCATCGAACTCCCCGAGCTTGCTTCGATTCTATCAACGCTTTACCCGACTCTCCCCATTTCTAAGAGGTATGCATTTATCCGCAAAATACTCATTATGGAGCATGTTATCATATTCTTAATGGTAACCCCAAATCACAACTTCAATTGTCGATCTCAGGTTTGTGAAGCATAACGATAGGCCATACTATGAATTTGACACCTCAAAGTTGAAGAGTTTGGGGATGAAGTTCAAGTCAGTTGAGAAGATGTTTGATGAGACTGTCAAGTCCTTGATAGAGCAAGGCCATCTTTCAACATAGCAGCTCCCTAGCTATACATGAACCGTGATCATGCACTTCCATTTCATTCTTCTAATAATGGCAATTCAAGTTATACTACTTATAGAGAGAACACCATTCTATGACTTCTTTTGAGGTTGCAAATATTCTGTATTGAGCAATAAGTGTAGAAGCTCCTTTAATAGCTATGTTTACATAAAATTCTCAAAGGCTATTGTAATAGAATGACTTCGGGGAACTATTAATTTAAAAATAAATAAATCCATAATACAATGGGGTTTCAATGTTCACAATGAGCACAAGAGAAATGGTTATGAACACGCTTCATTTATAATAACAAAAGTATAATGGCAAAAATTGATATGATTGTTACTAACACTAATATATATATATATATATATATATATATATATATATATATATATATATATATATATTGATGGATAGTCTACCCGGGGGTATATATCCGAAGGGTTACTACGGGGAATAACTTAGAGAGAAGTCAGAGCAAGTAAATATATATAGAGAGAGTGTATTATAAATGTGGAGCGTTTTCAGCGTGGTTACAAATGGGGAAATGGGGTGCTATTTATAGTAGCAATAAATGTCGGGCAGGGACACGTGTCAAGCGCTCATTGGCCGAGGGGTCACCTCAACTGGTTGGCGCTGGCAGCCGCATGTGGCCGCATTTAATGCGGCTGTTGGACGGGACGTCTGTGCGGGGTACGGTGATCTGTACGCATGTGAGGCAGATATCTTGTCGAGTGAGATGCCTTCGGCTATAGAGCAGTAACCGAGGGCTCTCCCTCCCGATGGCACCCTGGTGCCGAGGGCTGCTGTTTTCGCCGTTTTCTCCCAGTTTCCTAATTTGCTTGAGAAACCCGCTCTGTGACAATTTGGAGTCTTCGGCCAGGGGTCCGAAGGCACCCCTGTGCGTTGTGCGGACTGCTTGGTACTCTGGGCGCTGTGATTTGGGCCTGTTGGGCCTGTTGGGCCTTTGCTGGAGTAGTAGGAGTCTGTGGGCCGGGGGTTCCCGGGCCATATACTCCATCAGGAGTCCCTCACTCCTTTTGCCGAAAGGTACTTGAGGGAAAAGGAGTAATTTGTGCTTGCCCTTTGATGTTGTCCTGTCGTGATCTCTGAAGTTGGTGAGGAGTTGTTGCTTTTATGTCCCTGCCGAAGGCAATCCCTCAGTTACCCACATGTCGGGACTTGAGGGCTTGCTTTGTTGTAATTTAATGATTTTCCCGAAGGGGTCCTCCAGTCCCCCACTCCTTGAGGCACTTGTAAAGTGGTGAAAAGGAGTAACGCAGTTACGTTGCTGTTGTGGGCCGAAGGCTGACGCTTTTCGTTTCATTTTGGGGGGATGCCTCGTTAAAAACCTCATTAGGAAAAACCCTTTGGGAAAAAAATCCTAATGAGGGAAAAAGAGTGCACCGAATTCCCCCAATGATGAATCGAAAATGTCAAACCTCGGTGAAAAATGGAGAATGACGGGAATGCCGAAGGCTCTCTCTTCTGAGGGCTCCTGTGTTGATTTGCCGAAGGCTTGCTGTTGATGTCCTGGTGGTGCCGAAGGGGAGCCCCTCAATCCAGGGATCGAGGGCCTGCCAGATGAGGGCAGCAGTGAAGTTGTTACCGGGGGGTCCACTGTTTGTTGATGAGTTGGTGATGAAGATACCCGAGGGCTCCCATTACCTGTGTGCCATGGGACCTCCGTTAATGAGGCACTCCCCGGGGGCTGCCCGGTTTTGCAGTGCTGAGGGGGAAACCCCGAGGGGTGCCCCTGATATGCAGCCCTGGGGATCTGAAGGAGTGATCCCGAAGGCGTGTGTAATGTGCTGTGTGGGGCACAACCCGGGGGCACTTCTGGGTGAGTGCAACCGGAGGCAATCCTTGATGAAGTGGAGTGAAGTAGAAAACCCGGGGGCTTCCAGAATATAGCCGTTGAAAATATAGTCGTTGGAATATGTAACGACAGGATATAGCCGTTGGGGGGGTGGCACACGTGGCGTGTGATGGCTGGTCGTCCGTGGGCGGCGTCACCGGTTGGGTGAAACGGCGGTGTGTAATGATGGCGTCCATCCGGAGGCCCGGAATCCAGGCCCAAGCCCGGATTCATCGCCTATAAATACCCCAAGGCCAGGCATTCCTCCGTGTGCGATAAACTTGTTAGCGAAGCTCTGTCAATTTTTCTAGAGAGAGAAAGTTCAGCCTTCGGTCCAAAATTCAGCTTTCGAGGTCAGTGCTCCCTGCCTTTCTCCTTCTAGCATAGCTGTACTGTGCCCTTAGTGTAGGAGATAGAAAAGTTAGGAAACACTACCGTCTACGAGCCCTCGAACAAGGGTGCGAATGTCGTCCCAGAGTGACTCTCAGGACATCTCGAGGACGCCCTCGATGGAGGACGAAGGCATCTCCGACGTGGAGTCAAGCAGTGGTCAGCCCTCGGATTGTGGTGATGCAGCCCTCGCCACTGAGGTGCAGAAAGATCTGACGGCTGAGGCCGAGGCGGAGGAATTCGAGCGAACTGCCGAGGATGAAGAGTTGGCCCTCGCCGTCCAAGTTGCTGAAGAGGAGGAGGAGAAGGAGAGGGCGAAGGTCACTGTGGCCGTCCTTCCCCCTCGGGGTGCTGGTGAGGCCAGTACCTCCCGGCTGCTGAACGCAGTTCCCATCCGGGTGTCCCCCGGGATGAAGAAGAGAAAGACGAAGGCCGCCCCTCAGAAGAAAGCAAAGACCGTCGATCACGGGGGGCCAGTTGATCTACCGGAGGGTTACTCCTTCCTGGACACCGCCGCTCTGGAGATCAAGTCCCAAGCTGACAGGGCGGACATCTACATCACCCAATTGCATGTAGGGCCCTCGGCCGTGGTAGTCGAGCCAGGTCCTGATGACGTGCTGTCGCGGCCCCCCGAGGGATGTATAGACGTGCACGTGTTTTCGGTCTCAATGGGCCTCCGGTTCCCTCTCCATCCGTTCCTCCGGGAGTACCTGAGGTACACCGGCCTGGCCCCCTGCCAACTGACTCCCAACAGCCACTCGTACATAACGGGGTTTGTGAACCTGTGCAAACTCCGGAAGGTTACGCCGAGCCTGGAGTTATTCTTCCAAAGCTTCAACCTATGCCGGGGGGGACATACAAATGCCGAGGGCTATGCGAACTTACAGCAGGTAGCCCAGTTCAAGCTGTTCACTGAGGCCCCTTCTTCCAACAAGGGGTGGAGAGAGCGATGGTGCTACATCAGACTGGCCGACAGCCCGTTCCCGAGGGAGTTGCGGAATCGCTTTCGGCGCCATGTGAAGGCCAAGAGTGCCGCCCTCGAGAAGGATGGCCTGGAGATTGCAAAGATTCTCGAGGGTCGGGAAAAGAACGTAACCATCAAGGAGTGCACCCTCGAGGAGGACCTGTATGCCCTCGGATTCCTGAGGTATCGGTTCATTGGGGAGACCGACGAGAAATATCCCCTCTACGATAAAGCCTTCGTGGGAGCAGGAGGTAGTAGCCGGGGGCTTTACATTTTCGTACTTAGAGATTTTTTGTTATGTTTGTTGTCATGTGTTTGACCCCTCGGTTCTAACCTTTCAACTTGTTGCTGTCGTTCTTTGCAGGTAGCAGGATGAATGCCAACGCCTTGTTTGCGAAGAGGAAGGGCAAGACCCAGCAAAAGGAGAAGGGGCCCTCGAGCCAGAAGCCAGTTGACGCGCTTTTCCCGAAGGCCATAGAGCCTTCCGCCGGGGACGCCCATGCTGCTGTGGGGACCGGGGGGTCGAAGGCCGAGGCGGCCGCTAAGAAGAAGAGGGGCGACAAGGGGGTGGAGCCCCCCACCAAGAAGCAGAAAGGTGTTGTGGGTGCTGTCGGGGAGGCGGCCCCCCTTATAGTCATTGATGACATGCCCGCCGTTGATGAGCCTCTGGCCTCGGTCCCCCCGAAGGATCCGGTGAATCCCCCCCGGGCGGAATCACCCCGGGAGATCCGTCAGCTCTCCTTTGCCCCCGGCGCTTCGTTGATGCACGGCACTGTCGAGCCGAAGGCCTTCCTGCGGGGAATCACCTCGAAGATGGACAGGGAAGTCTTCGAGACCTACGATGACGATGCCCTCGAGAACAGGATCCTCCGCTCCTCGCTCACTGTAAGTATCCGCTTCCTTTTTCCTTATCTTGTCAGTGTAGTCTTATTTTTTCCTGAGGAACAATCTAACTCCTTTGATAATTGTTCGCAGGCCTGCATAGCCCTCGGGGAACAGGCCCGGAGGTGCGAGGAAAGGCGTCTTCACGAGGCCGCCCAGGATAAGAAGGTGGAGGGGCTGATCCGTAAGAACTCCGAGGCGGTGAAGCATGCTGCCCAGCTGGAGGAGGCCCTTCGGGAGGCGAAGGCGGCGGCGGAGAAGGCCAAGGCTGATGGTATAGCCGAAGGCAAGGCAGAGGCCGAGAGGGCTGCTGCCGAGGCGGCGAAGAAAGCCGCCGATGAAGCCCAAACTGCTAAGGAGAGAGCTGCGGCAGAGGCCCGAGGGGAGGCAGTTGCGGAGTTCCTTGCTGAGGGCTGGAGGGCCGAGGGCCATAAGGAGTGGGTTGCCTCCGTGGTGGCAGCCTCGGTGGACGCTTGGGTAGAAGGCCCCGGGGTTGACTGGCTGACCGATAGGGGCGACGCCTACTATCAGGGGGGTGAGTTTTTTACCCAGCACCTGATATACCGGAGGCTCGCCAGGCACTTCGGTGTATCCCTCGAACAATTTGACCCCTCGGTATACGGCCTCCCTCCGTTGCAACCAGATGTCAGAGTTCCCCTCCCCCCGGGTGAAGAGCGGCCAACAATCTATGATTCTGTGATGATGGGGGGTGACGGGGTTGGAGCCGTCGGGGGTGATGCTGCCGGAGAAGAAGTCTCCTCCAAGGCTGTCGTGGAAGATGCCCCCGGTGACAACGAGGCTGAAGCTGCCGAGAAGATTATTACTTAGTCAATTTTTTTTTAAAAAAGCCTTGTAATGAAACTTTTGTTGCCCCTCGGCTTTGGCCACACTCTGTAATGATCACATTGACTATTTTTGTGTTGTAATTGAATGATTGCCTTCGGGCTTGGTGTATATGATATGCTTCCTTCTGATCTGTTCATTGTTGAATGTATGCCTTCGTCTTTGTTTTGAATGTATGTCTTGTTCCTTTGAATGTATGTCTTAGGACTTAGAATACCATCTGATTGTAGCTAGCCCTTGGGAGCCTTCGGTAGTTGGGCACCCTCCGCTGGATATGCAACCGAGGGTTCAGCAGCAATTAGGACTTAGAAAATTTTTTCTAAGTGTAGATTTCCAAGTGTAGATTTCTAATTGTAAATTTCCCCTTGAGAGCCTTCGGGATATGGCCTCCCTTCCTGATGTGTGAATGTTGGAACGAGGGTTCAGTAGGAATCAGGACTTAGAGATTTTTTGCAAGTGTAGTATGTCATGTAGCCTTCGGCTACTGTGGAGCCCCAACTGAAATATTGAATAGGCCGGGGGCCAATTCTTTAGGACTTAGGAAATTTTCTTGAGTGTTGATTCCTTGTGTACCGTAGCTCTCGATTGATAGGTAGCCTTCGGCAATTGGGTCCCTTGAGATGAGGGTGAAATATGTACGACTTAGAAAATCTTCTAAGTGTAGAGTTTCCCTCGAGAGCCTTCGGGAGGTGGCATACCTCTATGATGTATGAGTAGCTGACCGGGGGGGAAAACATGTAGGACTTAGAAAATATTCTAAGTGTAAAGTCTCCCTTTGGAGCCTTCGGGAGATGGCATCCCTTCTTGATGTATGAGTAGTTGACCGGGGAAAACATGTAGGACTTAGAAAATATTCTAAGTGTAAAATCCCCCTTGGGAGCCTTCGGGTGATGGCTGCCCTCTGATTCCTCATCACTTTGCGAGATGCCCGGGGGCTACTCATTTAGGACGTAATACCCTCCTTTTTTTGTTGTTGTATTGCATGGCCTTCGGCCACCATATTCCCTTGGCTGTAATATTGGTTGGGCCCGGGGGCTGCTCCTTCAGGATTTAGAATTTTTTCTAAGCATACATTGATGTTGACTCCTGTTGTTGTGAAGAAAGCCAATGAGGAGTGTGTGCCCTCGGCATACACTTCAAAAGTCGTAGAATTTGATCCTTGTCATGGGGAAAGGGCCCTCGGTATTTGTGCATAACGGATGCCTTCGGTGTTTGTTTGAAGTACCGTTTAGTGGACCTTGGACAGTCCAGTCCCTTTGTGTTGTTGAAGCCTTCGGTGTCTTTGTGACCGGAGGTGACCAGGTAGCGGACTTAGCCGTTTCCTGATGATATTTCCTTGAGTAGTATCCTTCGGGAAATAGGAGTCTTCAATTGCCGGAGGTGTTCCCGTGGGGAGCCCTCGGCATGTTGTGATTTTGTTGGAGTGTACTCTTTGATTTCTCGTTGAGTCTACTCCCCTTCACCCCCCCCCCCCCCCCCCCCCCTTTTTTTTTTTTTGGGTTGGTGGTGAAGGGAAGGCATCAAGAAACTTGGTTTCTTGGTAAGGCTGGGCCTATTAGGAGACCATCAGAATACACCAATGGCTCTCCTCCCTCGGGTTAACCTTCCGATTGCCGAGGGGATCGAGGGACGTTTCCTGGGCACAAGATATGGTGGTCCGTAACCTGCCTCCCCTTGGGGGATGGCGCGGAAAGTGCCTCATTTTTGAAAGTCGTCCCCTCGGCGCTAGACATAGTCTGTGGCCTGCCACACCCTTGGGGTGGTGGCGCGGGGAGCGTTTCGGTTTGGAAGTCGAATCCTGGGCATTTCTCATGCCTGTCATACCCTGGGGGTAGTGACGCGGATAGCGTTCCGTTTTTGAAAGTCGAATCCTGGGCATTTCTCATGTCTGTCATACCCTGGGGGTAGTGACGCGGAAAGCGTTTCAAGGAAGGGTTTTCATTTGCACACTAGTTGCAAATGGCCGGGGGCACTACGTGCCGCCGGCACCGATGGTGGCGCCTTCGGTATATGCGTCCTCGTGGGGTACGGCTTTTAGAAACAACACTTGGTGTTAGTTTCGATGTGTAGCCCCCGGTACTTGGTACCGAGGGGTCTTCTGTAGGAACACTTGGTGTTCTCTTGTTGTAGTTGATGTAGGCGTCTACCCTCGGTACTTGGTACCGAAGGGTCTTCAAATGAAACACTTGGTGTTTCCCAATAGATGTTTGGAAGCTATTAGGAGAGCATATCCCTGGCACTGGGTGCCGAGGGGTCTTCTTTGAAACATTTGGTGTTTTTTCTTCGTTTCGATATTTGATGAGGGAGGTGTGCCCTCGGCACTGGGTGCCGAAGGGTCTTCTGTAGGAACACTTGGTGTTCTAATCTTTTCTTTTTTGATGTTGAAGGTGGGGAAGTACCCTCGGCAATGGGTGCCGAGGGGTCTTGACTGAAAACACGTGGTGTTTCTATTGTTTGTTGTAAGTGTTGATGGTGTCCGCCCTCGGCACTGGGTACCGGAGGGGGTTCTCCTTGTGGTGAGGCCTGGGGCCTGTAGTCAGTATGAGGGCTTGATGTCTTGAATGTATCTTCATTCTTCAAAATTGGAGGCCTTGGGCCATTGGATAGTACATTCACTAGTTATGAGGGTTTGGCCGCTCTTACATTATTGATAAAATTTAACTAAATGGTGTACATTCCAGTGCCTAGGGACCTCTTTCCCGTTGGGGCGTTTGAGTTTGTAAGTCCCGGGTTTGATGATGGCTGCTATGATGTAGGGGCCTTCGAATTTTGGTGCCATTTTTCCTCCCTCGGTTGGTTGGCTGGCTTCCCTCCTCCGGAGGACATAGTCCCCCACTTGAAATTCCCGGGTTCGAACTTTGGCGTCGATGTAGCTTTTAACTTGCCTTCGGTAGTTTTCTGCCCGGATGAAGGCCTGCTCCCGGCGTTCTGAAATGAGGTGCAGGTCGAGGGCCATGTTGCTGTCGTTGACCTCGGGGTCATATTGGATCACCCTTCGGGTAGGAAGGGTGACTTCCGTAGGAGCTTTGGCTTCAAAACCGTAGCAGAGGGAGAAGGGTGTTTCACCTGTAGCGCGCCGAGGGGTAGTGCGGTAGGCCCAGAGGATGTTGTGAAGTTCTTCCACCAAGCCACCACCCTCGGCCTCCAGCTTCTTTTTGAGGCCCTCGAGCAAGGTCCGGTTGGCGTTCTCTACCTGCCCGTTGCCTTGAGGGTAGGCAACGGAGGAGAAGGTGTGTTTGATGCTCCATGCCTCCAGAAGGGCACAGAAGGGGGCTGCCTCAAATTGTGTCCCATTGTCGGAGATAATCTGCTGGGGGACGCCAAACCTTGTGAGGATGTTCTTGAGGACGAAGTGACGGCACTTCGCCTCTGTGATGCTGGCGAGGGGTTCAACCTCCACCCACTTGGTAAAATAGTCGACGGCCACAATGATGTATCTGTTGTTGGAGGTACCCCTCGGCAGAGGGCCCACAAGGTCTATCCCCCATCGAGAAAATGGGACAGAGGTGCTGATGGGGGCATAGTTGACCGCTGTCCTGCCGGGAGCTTTTTGGAAATGTTGACATGCGGTGCACCTCCGGGCAAGATCAGCACAGTCTCTGGCCATGGTTGGCCAGAAGTAGCCCTGGAGAATGAGCCTTCGGGACATGGAGAAGGGTCCCTGGTGAGCTGAGCAAGTGCCACTGTGTATTTCCTCCATTGCGACCTCGGCTTCATCTGGATGAAGGCACCGAAGTAGCGTGCCATTGTAACATCGTTTGTAGAGCCTCCCATCTTCGATGGTGTAGCTAGGAGCCCTCAGTTTTGCCAGTTTAACGCGGGTCTCATTCTCGGGTAGCTGCCCTGTGGAGATGAAGGCGGTGATGTCTGAGATCCAATCCTCCTGACGTTGTTGTATGTTCATCACGGGGCTTGCATGGATGCTTGAGAGGCTGAGTTCCTCGATTTTGGCAATTTTGGAGATGTGCTCGGGGGAGTCTGCCGAGAGTTTAGATAATATGTCGGCCTCGGAGTTCTGAGCCCTCGGTATTTGGGTGAGAGAGTGTGCCTCAAATACCTTAAGCAACTCTTTGGCCGCTTCCTTGTACTGTTTCATTCTCCCCTCCTTGGCCTCATATTCTTCGGAGATTTGGCCAACGACCAACTTGGAGTCGCATTTGATGTGGATCTGCCGAGCCCTCATGTTGGCAGCCAGCCGAAGGCCACATAGGAGGGCCTCATACTCGGCTTCATTGTTGGAGACCTTGAAGGAGAAGCGGATTGCATAGTAGGCCCTGAAGCCCTCGGGAGTAATGAGGACTACCCCTCCCCCACATGCTTTGGTCGCGGAGGAGCCATCAGTGTAGAGGGTCCACCAGTCGTCCGAGGTAGCCGAGGGCTCCCCGTCCGTGGCTGCCCTTGCGGTACATTCCGTCACAAAGTCCGCCAGGGCTTGGCCCTTGATGGCAGGCCTTGGACGGATGTCAATGTTGTATTGGCTCAAGAAGATAGCCCATTTCACCATGCGGGAGGAGCTGGTGGGGCTCCTCATGAGGGCGCCGAGGGGTTGATGGGTGAGGACCTGAACCGGGTGAGCCTGAAAGTAGTGGCCCAACTTCTTGACAGTCCAAACTATGGCTAACACCGTTTTTTCCACAGGGGAGTACCTGAGCTCGGCCTCCCTTAGGGTCTTGCTAACGTAGAAGATAGCATGCTGGATGTCGTCTTCCTCCCGGATAAGCACAGAGCTGATGGCCGCCGGGCTGACCCCAAGGTAGAGGTAGAGAGTCTCCCCTACCTTGGGTTTGGAGAGCACAGGGGGTGAAGATAGATACCGTTTGAGCTCGTCGAAAGCCCCCTGGCATTCTGGAGTCCATAGAAAGCCAGCCGTCTTCCTCATGATCTGGAAGAAGGGTAGAGATTTTTCCGCCGATTTAGATAGGAAGCGGTTGAGGGCTGCCAGGCGGCCCGTCAATCGTTGAACTTCCTTCACATTGCGTGGGGGCTCCATGTTGATGATGGCCTGGATTTTCTCGGGATTGGCCTCAATACCCCTTCGGCTCACCATGTAGCCTAAGAATTTGCCCCCTTGGACGCCGAAGGTGCACTTCTTCGGGTTTAGCCGAAGGTTGAATTTTTGCATGATGGCGAAGATTTCCCGGAGGTCGTCAGC